GAGTAAGACATAAGGGAATCCCTCTGGGAGAAGAGGGATATGCCAGGCCAAGAGAGGGTTGGAAGGAGAAGAGAGAAACTGAGGTCCTATAGAAGTCGGCCAGGGGCAGGGACCAATTCCAGCATGCAGCCTGGGAGCAGGAAGGCAAGCTCTAGCACAGCTGGAAGGAGCAGCTGGATTGTTGAGCTGAGGCAGTTCTCCTGGGGAGGAATCCAAAAGTGTCCCAGCAAGGGGCCTGGCTCAGGAGACTATCCTAAGTGGGGATTTCACAGCCAGTAGCAAATACCTGGAATCAAGAACTTCAGTGACAGCCAGAGGCCTAAACACCTGGATAGGACTGGTACCCCCAGTATGAAGGCCTGTCCCAAGCCCAGCCCCACTAGTCAATACCAGCAAGGAGCCAGGGAGGACAACGAGGGTCTGGAATATCTGCCCCCAGTGCACACACATGCATCCTTCCCCGAAGCCCCCTGGGGGCCAAGGCTGCTCCTCATCCTAAAGCCACCTCATCCTAATTTATTTTTAAAGGTAAGGAGAAGGCAGGGTGATTTGCATTTGCAGCTCACTGCAGTGAGCTGAGGAAAGACTTTTCATGATTCCGGGTTTCTTGATTTCACTGTGCTACCGTCCTTCTCTGTTGAGGGAATGAATCATTGACCATTTTTCTCATCATAAAAGAAGGGGAGGTATTAACTGTTACCAGGAACACTTGTAAGGGAAGCCCTTAACTGTAGTTACTCCATGAAACTCCCAATAGCACAGGACTGGCCCAAGAGGTGGGCTGTGATGGATCAGGGATCAGGAGTGTGGGACCGAGTCTGAGCACTGCGTGGAGTGAGTTCCACCTGGAGGGGCTCCGGGAGTCCAGCCCTGTCCCCAAATGAGTCTTTCTGCTGGATCACATTAAAGGGTCCTCCATAGTGATTCCAGACCAGTATTCAGAAATTTGTTCAAAAGTCCCAGATCACTTCACTTCCCTTCTGTATTCATGAGTGTGACTCTTTATGACACATCATTAAAATTCATCGCCACCTACCTTCCTGAACATTTTCTCACAGATTGCAACTTTGTTCCCACACACTGTACATTTTTTTTCTGTTGCTAATACATTGAACGTCTGTTACCAGTATAACATTTCATATAATTTGCAGCAATTTCTTGGAAACCCTTGGTAAATACCTCAATTGTTTGTTGGCAGCAAGCCTCAAACAACCGACAGAGTTCCCTGTAAGGGCTTCTTTAAAGATGAAGCCTCTCCACTCATGCCTCAAACAGGGGTCCCTGGAAAAAGTGGTAATTTATGTGTATATATGTGTGTGTGTGTGTGTGTGTGTGTATGTGTGTGTGTGTGTATATATATATATACACTTTCAGAAAGGCCTGTTTTAAGAAACAGTGAATGCTGAGGAGTTATAATAATCCATCCTTTCAGAAGGTTCTGTTCACTGCCTGCAAGGAAGAAAATCTATAATGACCACTTTACTAATATTGCCACTTAACTTCTGTTAACCCAATAAAATGCTGCTTCATTACTAATGCTGCTATTAAACTTACAAGCAAGATCCTCATTAGGTTATTAATTTCACTCAATATTTCCTTCTGTTTGTAGCATTTCCAGTCAGATGCAGGAAAGGACAAGTGAGCAGGGCTTATGTTCTGGCTTCAGACACTGGCCTGTCCAGCCCTTGGAGTTCTGGAATGTCCTTCAGTGCCTTGTGCTGCCAGGATCTGCTTATCAGCTGTGTACACTGTTTCCATCAGACACTGAGTCAGTGCGAGTGCTTCTCACACAAGTATGTGTGTGTGTGTGAGCGTTCATGTGTATGACAGAGACATGGAAGAAATTTAAATTTGGTACAACTCTGTGGACCGGTCAGATGGAATGTGATCTTCCTAACTGAAACGTGTTGGGTGCCGCCAGCACAGGCACTACTGGGAAACAGCCTGAATGTTCTTTAGGAGATAACCTCACTGCAGGGGCTGAGGACAATTGGCTTCTGGTATAAGACTTAATCCTTGTGTAGAGGAGTTTGCCTTTCCCATCCCTTGCCAATGAATGCATTGATCTTTAAAGTGGTGCCAGAGTTTCCACAGCTGGGAAGTTTGCTCAAAGACAAAGCTCCCATCTACAGGAGGGAACCCCCTGTTGGAACCCAGGCACTGGACAGCTGGGCAGCAGCATGGCCACCTGAGGGCTCAGCACAGCTGGGGCCAGATGTGCAGCTCAGACTCTATTCCCACTGGAGGCCTAATGAAGCGTAAAACTGGGAAAAACATTCACG